GCTACGAAGATAAAGGTCGATCAAATATTGGTACATGAAATATATCCATCACAAAGACCTGACGTACGCTAACAGATCAACGCGACACACAGATAATTATAAGTTATGGTCAGAAGTATTTCCACCTGCTTACCGAATAAAATACTAATTAATATTGACAGTAAGTAAACTTGTTACGTATTTTTTAACGAGAAACGTAATAATTAATAAGCCTAATACTAATCGAAAATGATATAATTTCAGACTCCTGTGTTAAGGATCCAGTACCTCTATTTCTATTTTTTATATCGTCTTTAATACTTCCATACACTTTTAGATTTTCCGTAAGATTTGGAGACCGATAATGTGCTTACTTATTAGTACATGCAAATACATGCCTCGTAGATTTGAAATGTATACATGTTATACCATGTCTATTAATTAAGTTTCATTCACATATAAACAGTTTTTTTTGTTATACATCTTTTATTTTATTATGAAAATGTAGTTGATTCTTGTTTAAGTATACATTGTACGTGTATATTGTTACGGGAGTTATTATATATATATTTTCAGTTTGAAAGGCAAACTCGTGCATGTAGGAAACTATTATGAATAAGAAAAATAAATGTACTAAATATATGTAATTTTTACATTCATGATATGTACCTCTAGTATTAATAAGAATATAGGTTTTCTTTATCGATCATAAAAATGTAGGTATCTATACTGACTTTTCTACAGGTAAATCGTATCTGTCTGAATCTTGGTACAGGAGAAACTATGACTGTCTGGCACACCCTGAGGGGTGTGTACTACAAAGGGTATATGGGTCTGATATCAGATAACTTTGGGACTGAGACCAGGTTAAACTTCAATATATCTACAATATGTATTTCTCCGTTTGTATATGTACGTTTGTACCTAAACAGGCGTGTNCAATATATCTACAATATGTATTTCTCCGTTTGTATATGTACGTTTGCACCTAAACAGCCGTGTATCAAGGAGGGGCAATTAGTCATGGTAGAGTAGAGCAAAGTAAAAGGGTGTGGGTAGGGGAGTATTTAATAGATACATTTATCACTCATTTATATATAAAAAAAAAAAAAAAACACTTATACATGCATATCTATGTGAGAATGCTCACAATCTCTTGTCTCTAGTTCCACATAAAAACGTTATGGCGTTGAGGGAAGATGATGACATTTTCCTGTAATTTCAAGTTAACTTTCTCCATAGGTAAGTACATTTTCGTTAAACTGGTGATTGGGAATAATACCGCACACAAAATCAAGTGAAAATGTTTGGTTTAAAGTATACGTCTCTGACCGTTGTCAGACTTTTTATAATGGATGAGTGGCAAAACTACATAACATTTTGTTTGTCTGTGCTCAATACATGTAAGTGTAAGTGCTACAAAATTTCATATTTTGTGATACATGTACGTATCCTCATCGCCTGGTTCAAGTTCAAGTTCTTTATTACTTTGAGTCGTTCGTCTCACCAGTTACAAAGTAACAACATTTGTGATATTAATTGTGCAAAATACAAAATAACATTACACACCATTACATCCACTCACAATACATTTATAATAATTAGGTTCCTCTCTAATTTGCAAATTTTATATATTTTCCTAAGTTCGTTATTTCTTTTGATTTTTTCACACTCAATAATCCTTTCAATTTAAATATGCCTGGCTTTTTAATATAATAAGTTTTCAAAACAATTGCTCGCAAATCAGAATGACATGATCTTTAACATCATCTAAATTACAAACATTACACACTCGACGATTCAATGTTTTGATATCGCCCTTTTTCTAATTTTAAGTTATGAGGAGATTTTTTATTTTATTTCTTTCAGATATTCTTTTTGTATGAGTGTACGCTGGTAGTTTTGTAGACCAAAATTATCGTAAATATATCTATAAAAAATTGCTTTTCAGAATATTCTATTTTGTTCTGCACTTTCTTCTCTAAAAATATCAATAAACCTTTCTTTTATTAATTAATTAATATTGTTGTCGTTATAATAATATTTCCAATTATACCCCAGGTCAGGTTAATCCCAGCCTCTGATATATACTGTCCACTGTGTAACTTGCTAAATACGCTAAGTGGTACAAATTGGTCAGCTGTTTAAAGGTCAATCATCTTTTTCATTGAACCATGTAAGTTCATACACTAGCCCGGAACCGCTTGACTGATTTTTGACACCTTTATAATTACCACACACAGAGAGAGCACTCCGTTAACAAACTTACTATGGACAGAGACGTATTGTAATATATACGTCTCTGCTATAGACAACAAGGAATCACACTCTATTTTCTCAGGAACTCAGCCACATGATGACAATGAAGTTATATTTATAATGATTTTTTTAATGATTATTGAAAAATATCATCATTTTCAATAATCTGATATGAAAAGTTTGTTACGTATTAGGGTTAGTATTCAACCTTGCTCGCTCATAACAGAACTCATGATAAATTATTTAAAAAAAAAAAAAAAAATTAGTTTTAAAACAAATCTTCTACGTGAGAAGTTAAATATCCTAAAAAGGGACTTTAAAAAAAAATAAAAAAATAGGAATTCCAAGTTCCAAAACTGTTGTGAAATGAAATTGCGCCTGGAGCTGTCATTTCCTGATTGAGGGACAGCCAAAGTATCTTACCTGTAGGTTTTTACCTTGAACTGATTTACCTGTATACAGCTGTACGTGATGGATAGACAATGAACTGGATTAATTGACATGGACTTAATTGACTTGAAATCACAGAATGTGACCTTGATCAGGTACAGCACATCAGAATCCAATGTGACCACAGGTGAATGGCCAATGCATTATCACTGCCTAGATTTTCAGGTATATATATATCATATTGAAAGAAATGTATCTGTCAGCGGGTGGTCATGTTGCCCTAACAACCTTTATAACGGACACTAAATCTGTTTATACCTTAAACAAGGGACAGGTCATTACCACATGGCCAGCTGTATGCCTGTTATTTAAATTACCCATAAGGCCTATTTGCTGGTGTGGGGAACACACAGTAGGCCCATGGAAGGAGGGCTGTTAAGTCCAGGTATGTGTAAACCGTCATTGTTGTGGGTTCTTTTCCTTCAGACTATTATGATGGTTGGAATAATTTCACGTAATGCGGTTTATAATGGGTTTTTTTACAATTCGTTTCGACAAATATGTATTCCGTAAAATTTTCGACCGAACGTTTCACAAACGCTTTTTAAATGGAAAGATGTAGACGCAAGTGCTACGGAAACGATACGGAAGTGCTACGGAAACGCTACGGAAATGCTACGGAAATGCTACGGTAATGGTACGGAAGTACTACGGAAATGCTACGCAAGTGATACGCAAGTGCTACGCAAACGGTACGGAAATGCTACGCAAACGGTACGCTGGAAGTGGAACAGCGAACGTGTACGGGTCTGTATGTGGATGTGTTTGTTTTAACACAAATCGATAACATTTACTTTTAAAATGGTTGAAAAGAAATGGAGCTTTCAGTAAGGTCAAGAGAAATATTCATGAAAATCCCTATTTAAGAAATAGGGATCACTATTCTTACATCATTGCAGTTCACTTAAGAATCAGTTGTATTATGTTTGTTTAATTACAGACTTGATGCCCTCTTTTTCAATAATTAATGTTTGCCATTCGTTATCGCCTAGGACTTCGCGTGTCAGGTCATTACAATATTTTGTTGCAATTATGAAGTTATTATTGTCCTTGTGCATCCTTATAAAGTTACATATGATGTTACACGAGAAGGAATTTGTACAACCAAGGGGTCTATCCAGCGATAGGTCAATTGAAATTGGTTAAATATATTTTAGCATGTTTTTAATGTAAACAGATGTGCCTATGACACAAACTCGTATGCTTATATATTTTAGGTTGTCCACTTGAGAAATATGGTGATGGTAATTGTGATTCCGAGTGTGGTGTAGGGTGTGCCAATGGCCTATGTGATCCAGTGACCGGAAAATGTGCATGTAATTATATCTATCTTAAGATATTGATACTCAGTGGGACAAAACAACAATATGCTATTTGCCTGTGGAACGAAAAAACGCCTAATAAGTTTATCATTCATTTTTTTTATATTAACGAGAACCGTTGTGATCAAAAGTATTTTCAGTATAAGAACATAGTGTAGGTCGTCATCATAATCTGATTCAACTGATGGTGTATGTGTATTTGCTTTGGCGTCTTATAGGCTTTCGGTACGGTGATAACACATGGATACGTCTTATCAGGGTAACATTACAATATTTCTATGAGAACATTACAACATTTTGTCATTCAAGTTAATAATCATATGGTTAGCAATCTTCAATATACATTTCTTCTTAATTCCTGTCATAAAATATATTCCATTCTTTGTCGGGATACAAATTCGTTTTCATTTTAGAATTATATCATTTATTAGCAATTTGTTGCTGATATCTATTTATCAACTTAATTACATCATGTTATAATAACATTTTGTTTTAATGAATTGATAGATATGGTTCCCAATAAACATTTTTTTCTAATAAAGTGTTGTTTTGAAATATACATGCTACAAGCACCATTTAGTACAATCACATTTTCAGTGAAAATTAATAACCTAATGGTTAGATATTAATAATATTGCTTCTTATGTATTGTTTTCGATTTCTAACTTGTTCTTTGTGATATTCCATGAAAGCGTGTACTCCCGAGTTTTATGGCAGCCATTGTAATCATACCTGTCCGTTCAACTGTAAAGACAACCGATGTATGCAAAGCAATGGAGAGTGTGAAGGTATGTATCAGTGTAAAATATAAAAAAAAACGTGCATAGAAATGTTTTATATAAGCATTAGTTAGGAAATTATTTCGTGTTTATATATTGTAATTGTCATGTTAACATACACAATTCAGATCAATTTTGCATAAAAATAACTCCACGTTACTGACAAATTTCCTATTTTAGTTTTTTTATGACGACTAATAAATTGAAATAAAAAAGGATATGCAAATTATATTCATGATGTAGAATTTGCAGCCCTACAACTGAGGGAAAACATATTGCCCAAAGCAATTGTCGTTTTCGTAGGTTTTCGGTAAAATTAACTTAATCTCAGCGAATCAAGATCGGTTATCTAGAAACTGATATAATATGTAGAGAGAAAAAAAGTTTGACATAACAAAACATTCCGGTGGTAGTACGCAAATAACTTCACAACTTGATTGTTAAATAATGTATCAGGTCCGATTAACATTTGGTGTTGGTATATTTCTCGATCATCAAAACGAAAGGTTAATTATATCAAATTGAGGAAGCATTGCGTTGAAAAACAAGAGGATGTATACTATAAGTTTAACATGCATACAATACATGTTTTTTCCATGTGATACATTTAATTTGTATATTAATATGTTGGTGAAATGTCAATGTGAAACTATATAAAGTTACTTTTCATTTTGCAATGACCAGACTGTGAGGATGGATTCTTCGGATCGTCCTGTGATGTCTGCTCTGTTGGTTGTACCAATCGTTCCTGTGACAAAATATCCGGAAATTGTAGTCGTAAGTATTTAGAACAGAGCAACTGATCTACTCACTGGTGACTAATATTTTATAATTTATTTTCCTAATTTAACAACTGCCGCTTCAATTGTTAATAAACTGATATTGTCAGTATATATATTTTATTTATTTTCGTATTCATTATTAGATTAAATTGCAATCAAGAAAAACCTTCAACTGTTTTAGAAGTATATAGTATATATAGCACTGGCGCTGTTATTTCTTCAACTTTCAAAAACAAATTAAAATCTGTTATGCCCTCTTTTATTCTTATTGTTTGGGAGGAGCGGGATGGGGTGGGATTGTCATGTCCTAAAATCAAGATTGTTTTAGAGATTTACCCTATGTTTAACTGTTGTTATAATTTTTGAATCGAAACGCAGTATGAAATCATTCATCAGGAATGTGCTGCTTCAACGTTTCTTCT